GCATCGCTTCTAGTAACAAGTGCCTTACTAGTAGTAACAAGAAGCTATGAGAATTAAATTAAATTAATAGCTTCTTGTTACTACTAGTAAGGCACTTGTTACTACTAGCGTGGCGCTTGTTACTAGTAGTAACAAGAAGAATACGTAACCTGTGTGGCCCGTGACGTCGTGACGTGACATGGTGACATCGGACGGTCCATCCCGCGCGGACGCGGGTCCTTCCAGTTGGCCGCCCCCAGCGCTGCACGATCTCGATTGATCCCTTAAAAGAGCACAGTGTCAGGAAGTGTCACGAAACGCAGACAACAGGGAAGAGCAAAGCATTATCTTTGGAGGGCAAGTGTACCTGAAAAGAGCTTGATGTATATACCTGGAGTCGACCTGTTTGCTTGACGGAAAATGGGGAGTACGTCGTACCATTTTTTGTGAGGTCATGTCCCATTTTCTCAAGGCACCAACTGGATCCAACTGCAGGGTTCATGTAAGTCTATCCCCCCCAGGAACTGCAGGAGTTGGGTGGTTCATTGGTTCATGGACACTCCTTTTTTAAACTCCTCCATGGTCAGGGCGCTTTTAAAATAGACACTCCATGGTCGGGGCACCCTTTACCTTTCTTCGGGTACACGGGGGCACCCACCTCTCGAGCTGGACCGGGTCCTACCCGGCCGGAATCCTTGGACACTCCTGTCGGCAAGGGACAGTTTCTCCTCACAAGAGGTCTGGACCCGTCGCATGTCTAGGGCCCAGGTGCACCATTTGACTAGCAAGCGAACGAGGAATACAGTCTCATTCCAACTTCGGATAGCATTTGATCAACACAAATCAACACTCAACTTAGAGTCGAATCAATCAGCAACTTAATTTGTCCAAATGCAAATGCCAATGTGAAGGGATCTTGAACAAATTATTCTTGTTTTCTAGAAAAGGTAAGGTCCTGTGCATGAGTTGGATGCCTCCACTGGGAGCAACAAGCTGGGAACTGCATCTCTCGCAGGTCCCGACACCATCACTTGCGACCACTGGCCTAAACCTGTTTCAAACACATCCAACACAAGAAAAACACATCTTCGACTTATGATCACCCAAAAAAATAGACAAATGAGACTGGCAGTGGTCGAATTTGAAGCCCTTTCAGTGGCCAACCTGGCCAGACCTGGCCAGACCGTCGCTCGGTTCGACGCTGCCAAGGTGCGCAAAAGGCTGGTCACCCGGTCGAGCCGGCTTTTGGCCATCTGCGGCAGTCCAGTTTCGGCTCCGTCCCGTGCTCCGTTTCAGGGGTGGTCCCCACCTTCTGAGGATGCCCTAGGTGACAAACAAGCTGGGCCGAGACCTGTGAACAGGAAATGCTGTCTGGAGCTGCTGCATTCATTATCGTTCATTCAGATCTTCGTCTTGTTCACCTGCAAACCCGTAGATTGCAGTGGAAGTACTCGAGTACTCGTGGGAGTCAATCCCAAATCTGGGTAAAGATTGAGCCCAATAAAACACAGGATTGGCTTCCAGCTCACTGAAAAAGTGGCAGGTGGTAACCTGTAGTCGGACGGTTGGTAGAAGGGTTTGAATCCCTTTTTCTGCTCCATGGGTCAGTTCTGGCGAAAGGGCTTCCGGAGAACAAGCCCTTAGGATCTCTAGCAACCAAATGTGCTCCAATTCCTTTATTTAGCTTGTGAGATATATGGCATGTTCGTACACTCTCAGACTCCACTTCAGCAGGCACTTGAGGAGGCACTTTGAGCCCAGAAAAAGGTTTCATGCTTGTTTTGCTGTGCTGAAAGACTCCACTTCTTCCCAAGTTTGGTGCCTCATTGGGTAGTACCACAATCGTGGCGATGCTTTGGTCTGGTCCGCCTGGCCCAGCTGATGAGGTGACGGGCGGAGGGTGAGTTCGCCCCTCGAAGATGGAGGCCAAGTTTAACCAAGCGAATCCCCTCAAAGATTCACATACCATGGAATTGACCTGATAACATGTATATCCATGTCTGGTTTCTGTCGGCACAGTTTTTCATCTTATCTGCTCGGAAGATCGTGCAGTATTCGATGTCCATGACAGGTCGTAGTCTCCAGATTGGTCAAATCAACTTCGAGTGCTTTGTCCTTCATTGGCAGTGAGAAAGAGGCTTTAGCTGTAGCTCCTCTGCAGTGCTTGAGCTCCCCTGTATCTTTTGATAGGAACATTACATATCCGATGATCCTTCCGGACAAACGACACACACAAACAAAAAAAACACGACATCCACGACTGATATCAACGTAATGACGTCTGTGGTTTATACCAATTGATCCTTTTGAGAGAAGCTCCATGAGACCACCAAGACTGGGCCCCTGATGTTTTTTTCAGCATGTTCCCAGCATGTTGATGGCCCTTGTATGTCGGCGTGTCATGAACACAAACATCAAGACTCCTTCCAGCACGGTGGGTGAAACATCAAGACTCCTTCCACGACCATTGGCTGAACATGTCTTCCAACACGGAGAGATGATTTTCTGTGAAAGTACCGACCCAATGGGTATCTGGAGTCGACCTCTTGGTACCTCAGAAAATAGGCTGCTTTTTATGAATTGTCTAAGGCTCCAGGTCCAGGTACTAGTCGTACTAGTACCTGGACCCTCCAAACCTTCAAAGTACCTTAGACAATGGATGAAAATGGGACATGGCCGTTGACATGACCCCATGATTTTCTCCATCAGAACAGGTATACATGCATAGAAAGTGCCTTTTCCGAGGTACGAAGTGAGATACGAACTGAGACTCCAGGTACAGTCCAGTCCAGTGTTGCTTCCCCTCACCATGGGTCACTAAGGGTCGGGTCACGCCACTGTCTCGCAGCGCTCTTGGCTAAGGGGGCCAGCACGACCAAACATGGGAAGCAGTAGGGTTTTTAAGTTTAAACCGTTTTAACTTGGATGGGTGTATTAATCATTGTTAAACCATTTACTACCCTGAAGACTAACATGGACCCTGAAAAGGCTTGGCAAAGACAATCTTCAAGAAACCCAGTGTCAGGGTCCATCTTGGTTTTCACATGTTTTCAGGAAGCCTTTTGGGGTGCAAGCTGTTTCCGGTCCAATGCAGTTTTGGGCATCCAAAGCTGTTCCGGCCCGTCGGCCCAGAACCGTCTCGCCGCCCCCGCTCCGAACCGTCTCGCTGGGCATCGAAGACCAGCCCATTCTCCGGTTCGCTCAAGATCAAGCGGAACTCCTCCTGGGCAGCCAGGGCGGTTTTGCAGTCGAGGAAGGACAATACTGTAACCCGGCCTATATGGCATCACGACGACCTCCCTGGCATCACCCCTGGCCTGATCAGCAGTCCGTCCTGGCAGTCCCTTGGAGTGTTTGGATCATGGAAACTCAGAACACGCTCTTGACCTGAAAAAGGTAAGCAAGTGGACCCATTCAATTGCCAAAGGTGACCATTGAGTGTCTAAGTCCTGTGTTGATTGATTTGTGCAAGTGGCGACCCGACACATGAGTACGTGTGCTCATTTTGTGAGGTACTTGGAGACTCTTGGCTTGTGCCTGGCATCCTCTGGAAGGCTAAGATGAGTGTTTCCAGTCCCGCCTGACCACCAGGGTAGTCACGAACAGTGAACAACGGTATTCAGAGCAAGAATTGCCGATCCTGGATCTGTAGGGTCCCTTTTGGCCACAAAGCATGTCCAAATCACAAACCAGTGGCCCATTTCCCATGTTTCCTCGCCCTTCCTCGCTTTCCACTTCGAAAGCTTCTCTCTCTAATCGCGATGGCCTCCAACCTAATAGCAATGGCCTCCAAATCGAATGCTTTCGTTCAACACACAGAAAACCACGCTTCGTCCTTGTTGATCCGGCCCTTGGACTTGATCGTCACAGGGATCTCTTTGCTGGTCACGCTCTCCTCGAAGGTCAGGATGCCCTGGAGCGGTCCGGTGGTCCGGTGGTCCGGAGCCGTGGTCCCGGAGGTCTGGAGGGGTACATCACCATCGATCGATGCCCTAGGGATCCAATTGTACCTCAGGTTCGGTACGACTGGACAACGGCACCTACAGTGTCTCCTTCTTCACCGTATATTTGAGAAGGTATGACTGGATTTCTAGGGATGGTGGAACCTGCTTTGTTTTGGTCCTTTTTTTCAGGTACCCATGGTACCGTCCTGACCTGTTTTCTCACATGGAAGTGGACCATGGCGGGGCTGGAAGTTCGATCATTTTTTCTGGTTGTCCACTGTGGTGAGCACTGGTCACTGGTGACTGTCCTGGAAGGGTCAAGGATGAAACAAGCAAGAAGAGCTGCTTCAAAGGAGTTGACGTTCTGGGCACCCTGATCCTCCAAGTTCGGCACCCCATGCCATGTCTGGAATATGTTGTTAGACCAGGAGTTCCAAAGGGGTGCCTTACACCTAAAAATCAATGATGACCCTTGAACAATCGTCATCTGAGTCATCTCCCGACTTGCCTAAATGCATGCACCGCATGCACTAGTAACATGGTTCCATATACAAGAGATCGTGTCACTTTTTGCTTGAACATGCTTGAACCATTCACGCCTCGACACGCAGGGAAGAACGTGCCACGTCCAAGGAGCCACGGAAACAAAAGTGCATCGATTCCAGGGCATGATCGGAATCGACACGCAGCATCGACACCACTCTCCAGATATCTCCAGATCATAACACCAAATATGATCCCCTCACCCAGACACTCCATGTATGCATATGCCATATATATACTACATTGGGGTGATTTGGGGGGTCAATGTAAGCATAGATGGCATGCATGGAGTGTCTGAGTCAGGAAAAAAAACAAACACATATATCCCCAAAAACTATGTCGACCACCGGCACGCCTCCCAGTTACCGGGTCGCGCGCCTCGGGAAAGCACCAGTCACTCAGAGGTCGGCACGAATTCAAACAAAGAAACGCGACCACCGCGCCCTATAGCGCCCGCCTCGGTGTGGAGATAGTCGTATTCTTGAGTGGCACTCCCAGCCTCGGTCGTGAACTTGCAGCTCACCTCAGTCGTGAGGGTTGGCGGAGGGAGGTTGGCGGAGGGAGGACGGCGGGTGACGGGAGAGGCGGTGGGTCTTGGCGGTGCGGCGGGGCTGTCAGTTCGAGGAAACACCAGAGGTCACAGAGCTCTACTTGGCCCCGACTTCAAGTATAGTACATTGGGACACCGAACCCAAACCAGGTACTTGTACTCATTTTCGAGGTACGAACTCAGACTCCAGGTAGTAGTGGAGCAAAGGGTTTCTCCCACTGCACCAATGCCCACGAGGATTGGATGGCCTCTGAGCATTTAGGTTATTATCACTACATTATGCAAACACTAACATGGACCCTGAGAATGGCAAGCTAAAAAACGGTGTTCCTTTACAAACAGTGGTTTTCAGGTATTAGTTTTCAGGAGGCAAACGGAGGGTTAGGGTTTTCACGGTGTCACCAAATTCTGAGAATCGTGGTTTGATGGACAGGTTCCCCCCACCGACAATCAAAACCACGACAAACATGCAAAAACAAGAAACAACTGTGTGCTGCTCAAATTCCATGATCTGATCCTTCTGAGACACACTCCTAACAGTCCAAGGACCAAGCAAAATCTGGGTCAGTGTAGTAACTTTTACCATGAGTCCTGTTTTTGCATGACCAGACCCAAAGAGATGAGGTCCTTAATCAGCACAGCTCCAATTCTGGGACGGGCGAAAGTCCGCTCCAGGTGACGGTCCCAGCAGAGCCGCCCGTCCGCTTGACACAGACCTGCGCAAAGGACGTGGATGGACTGATCTAGTCGACCTCCCTCGATGCTGGAGGTGCCTCACCAGGTTAGTTCAAGGGTATTTGGGGGTCCAACCACCATTGATTTAGATAAAGGTCTTCACTGAAGAACCAAACTGTTTGTTTTACTAGGGAGTTGACACTACAAAACCAAGTCAACCATCTGAAGAACGGTCTTGGACTTCCAGGGTATTTTATACCTAGTTGGACATTTTTGGACCACCAACCACCTCAAATATGGTCTTTTCCTATCAAAACAGAGGCCAAATGAGTTCTAGGTTTTTCTATAGGTCGGGTCCCAGGTCTTTGGGTGTCTTCGGTGCAAACCGGTGTGTTGAAGAGCGGTAGGCCAGGAGCGGAACCAGAAACCCTGGACCCGACGTCTCTACGTCATTCCTCCAAAAGTTGGACATGAAAACAAGATAAAACAAGTATACTTGTATGTACTTGTACCCATTTTCCGGGGTACTGTGAGACTCCAGGACATTTGCTTACAGATTTCATATGATTTCATATGATTTCATGGCTTCACGTTTTTGCCTTCCGCATGTGTTCCTCACTCCAGCTACTGGATGTCCAATTCTGGATTTGTCGTGTGTCAGGGTCATGCATACAGCAAAAATACCCGAAGCAGTGAGATCAGGATTTAGATTGTGACATGACAAATCTAAATCTAAATCCTGCAAACTATGGCAATCTCACTGTTAGGGTGGCAATCTCAGCAGCATGTTGCAGAGCAGCATCACAAGTGAAGTTCTATAGACGATTCCCTTTTTGTACCACCGAAGCCCGGCAGCCTGGCTCGAAGCCAAACGTCTTCAGATTGCCACCCGGTAAGCGGTTAGGATGAAACAAACATTCTCGACGACCGTTTTGGGAGTCATGTGGGATCCTCAATGATCCTCACCAGACCAAATATATAAATATATATATATATACCTACTGAACCTTCTACCCACTTTTTTGTGGGGTGGAAAAACATAGTATCACATAGTTGTGTCTAGATTACATCCAATCCGAGACATTGAGCTGGACCTTCAAAGGAGTGTGCACTAGACTCCAAATCTGTTTTCTGACCAGGTGGCAGTGTGGGTGCTACCTCCAAGTACCTCAAAACATGTATGTACAAGTCCTATAGGGCTCCTGGCCTACCTCCTGAAAAGTGTTCGTGCTAAGGCGGCGGTCCCTACCTTGTGAGGATGTGGGCGAGCCCTAGCAGCCCTAGCAAATGAACCCCACCAATCTCCCCAACAAAGCAGTGAATACAGGATTCAAAAAGCGAAGGATATTGCTCCAAACTCAGGAGTATGATCCCAAAACCAATGAAATTTAAGAATCAAACCCAAACACTCGATCCATGTATGTATTGAGTTGTAGTGTTTTGACCTGGGGTCAACGTCATAGGACATGATTTCATGGAGTGTCTGGGATCCCTGGGTCTGGTTCTTGGAACCATCGCCCAACAGACCGGCCCCATGCCGGGTGCCACGTGTGCCTGAAGGACCTGATCGGTAGGCTCCTCCTGAATCTCATAGACATCCTGCAGGAACTCGACACTGAGACGCACTGAAACTCGAAGCGCCCCAAAGCTACAGCGGACCCAAAGCTACAGCCTTCTTCCCCCCCCAAAATATCATCCAACCATGATGTAGCATGAACCGTCTTTGCGCACCGAATTCGGAGGTGAGGTGTCGGGGTTGTCGCCGAAGGGTCCAGGAGCCTGAGGGTCCTGGAATAGTACATGCATATATTGGGGTAAGACCATCCGTTTTGCGCGAAGGTACCCGAACTGGGCCGAACTGGGGGTCCCCAAAACACCTCCACCTGGAGGCATGGGCACGATGCCACGAGTTTTTCGGAACATGGGTACTACCGGGACCTTCAAAGGTGACGACGTCCTTGAGATCCCAGGTGACTTATATAGGTCAAAGTGACTGGCCTGTTTACAGGGTCAGTTATAGAGACGTCCAAAGAGGTCGACTTTGAAAGGTGCTGGTACTATGATTATATAGGGCCCTAGGGCTCCAAATACCTTCTGAGAAGGTGGGACTGGGGTGGGTGCCAGGAGGGTCCAAATACCTTTTGAGGAGGTACTTGGAGCCCTAGGGGAGGGCGTGTCATGTCCCATTTTTTAGGGTGCACACGGTACGAATCGGGTCCAGCTATCACATAGTTGTGTTCCATTCTGCATTCGAATTTTCGGGTCGAGAGGCCTTCATGGAGAAAAAGAAGAGGACTTGGGGGTCAGTGAAAGACCTCATTTCACTCACATTGATGAAGAAGTGGTCCGACAGGACTTCCCAAGAGAGGCCGACAGTCCTCGATGGCCTTAGAGCTTTTTTGAACACCGGTGTTGCTGGTGATCAAAGCTGCTTGGAAAAAACAACATGCATCATATACTATACCCTTCGTAGCCAGAACAGCAGTCCGGGACGTTTTACAGAACAGCCACCTCGTATACACCCAGGAACTGACGGATCAATTGAATATAAACTTTATTCACTAGGAATCAAGCTTGAGGCCACTGGTATACATGACTGGACCATCCAGTTTTGCCAAAAGTGGATGAAATGACCCAAGGTACTGGTTCTCTTATTGGGTCTATGTAGAAAACAAGGTTGGCAGTGGCTCCGGGCATTCCCTTGATTGACCCAACATGGAGAGAATTTGTCTACCAAGGAGGTCAAGCTACCAGGGTTTGGGGGGCCAGCTGACACGCCCCTGGTGACAAGTTCTATGACCAGCCAATGGGTCCAGCTACCTCCGTTGTGGATGGTCGAACGGAGGTGTTGGTCCGTACGAAACCTGAGAATGGTGCCTGGTGCCTTGCAGGACATCCGAGAAACGGTCCTGGAGCCTTGGGGCAGGGCTTCAGGAATTGATTTGGTTTCGACCCCTCCAAAAATCAATCCCACCGGCTAGCTCTGGAGGTCAGACTGGAGCCCTTTTCCTGGGCGGGGCATCCTACATAGCACCTCACCCCTCTGTTGTCTCTTGGGCCTGCTCGAAGGCTGCCACGCCAGGACCATCGTCGTCGATGATCACGATCCTGTTCAATAGGCGGGCATCAAAAGCTCCATGTAATATATCCGTCTGTTTGTTCAGCTTTACTCTATATTGTTTTATTTATAGGGAGCAGGGACATGCTTCTCCCGTGGCAAGAGTCACTTGATGTGTTCACATCAACGCTGCTCTCATTTCCCGCCTCAACAAAACCCACAGGACATGTATGTGATATACTCGAAGTGACCTTCCTTTCCTTTACGAACAAATTACGGTGTGAAGTCAAATGGCTGGAACGTGTGTAGGCTGTTCCCATGGGCCGATCAAATGCCAGCGATGTCTTTCGAAGTCTTCCACAGGTTCAAAGTCTTGCTCCCAGCATTTTGGGTCACCGAAGCCAGCACCTTCAGCAACACAGAAACTGAATTTCTATCCAATGAGTGCTGACAGCATGCAACCCTTTATGCCCTTCAAAATGCTATTAATGATATTATTGTTGCTAGAAAAAGAAACACCCCTGGCCTGACATGGCTTGACTGGGTTGTTTGGCGGTTTTGGAGGCTGTGCCACCTCTCTTAGCAAACCTTTGAATTGGATGTGTGAATCATCCGCACATCTTCGGACATTCCATGGAGTTCGGGTCGGTTTCTTTCGATCCCAAACACGACGTACGTGAAACAAAACCTCAACCCAACTTCAGGTATCTTTGAAAAATTGCACATGACCCTATCAAAAGGTGGTTCTTGTACTCATTTTTCAAGGTATATTACATTTGAGACTCCAGATAGATCCGCCACTGGTACCGTCCATCCGATCTGTCTCAAGTCCGAACTCGCGCCTCACTCTGCTGGCATCGCCGATGCCACAGCCTTCCTCGAGGATACGCACGACCGAGGGAGAAGTAGTCTGGGTTTTGAGGAAGCCCATCCGGAGGATGGAGCCCTCCAACTGCAGCATGTGATGGAGCAAATCCTAGCTGTGAGCCCAAGGGATCCATACTATGGAGTAGTTACTTGCATGGACGGATACTTTACCAGGAGACTCCAGGATTCCGAGCTACGAACCGCTGCCGTTGAGGTCGACGGCTGCCGAGGTCGACGGCGATGGCTCAGAGTTCCATGGAGTGCCGACCCCTTAGGGCTTCTGGCCTACGGTGGGTGCCAGAGTCTGCTTCTGGTTGGAGCCTTAGGGTGAAGGTCCGGAATCCACGGTCCACCCTGCACATATGGAACTCCTGGTTATTCATGTCCACACCCACAGCACTCGCGATAAGTTCTTGCAGGCTGGCAAATTCACCTAAATAGTTTAAACATAAAACGTCCAAATCCTCATCTTGGCCAAGGCACAGGTGAGGACAGGATCACATAAAACTCCTCATCTTCCTGGAACAACGGGGTACTGTGCAGTGCCGGCGCCAAGCTTGTTGCAGGTGCTGGTGGCCGTCGGTGCGCATTGATGAGAGGGATGAGAACATCAAGAGGCTCAGCTGGTACCTGTGGACCTGTGGAAAGGCATTCTGCATGGACCTGTTGGATTGGGATGGCAACAATTGTTGAACTTTTTGAATCCCACATTAGATACTTAGTTAGATTTGGAATGATTTAGATATGCATTTATCACCATATTTGAATGGGATACAGTATACCTGTACCAGGTACTGGGATGCTTGGCGCTTTACGTGAACCTCTCGGTGCCACGCACCGCTCGGTGCCACGCTCGGTGCCACGCTCGGTGCCTCGCCTCCCACTGCGCATCATCCACAATGTCTACCTGCGGGTCTGATCGACCGCCGGTCCGGGAACCGATCAAAGATGGATATATTGGGTATATATCCTATGTATATCCGTATAAATCACCATAAACACTGTAAAAAAATATGACTTGGGTATATCCCAGTAACAGTGGATGATCATGGTTGGCAAAGGCCGTTTCTGTGGGATAATTCTAAAGGCATACTGCGATCAACAATGTAAACATGTTATTGTTCTTTTTTTATATCACAAATGCACACGACACCCACAATCAAATCAATTTCCCCCTTTCTCGCAGAATGTTTGTGCCCTTCTGCTTCTGTTTGCATGATCATGATGTTGAGGAACCGCAGCAAACATCATCAAACCATTGCCCCACCAAGCGCCAAAGAGACACTCCAGTTACTCTGTTACTCTAGTTAGATTGCTGAAGGAAATCGTTTGAGCCGTTGAAATGCTTGGATGCCAACGGCTGCGTGGAAACGTGGAAATTTGCTGTGCATCGCTACGTGTGCATAGCGAAGCCTGGATCTCTTGTTCCTTGATCTGCGGAGGAAACACCAGCACGCCCTCCGCCTGGCGACAGTGTCGAGGTTTGATGTTGCCCTGACTATACCAGGAGCTCCAGTAGTTAAAACAAATGTGTATATATATAGTTATATATACACTGTATACAGTATCTTGTATGGAAATATCAATATATTTACTGTACATGTTTGTTTTTTTTTAATGTTTACATATTATATATATCTAAATGTTTATCGTTTTATAATACATATAACTATATAATATAGTGCCCATCCTTCCTACGTTCCACCTCCAGCAAAAAACGACTTTTAGTGCGCATGGACTCAAACAGTCTGTCACCGCCATTTGCTCGTCAAAGCTCCTCCCCCCAGACCTAAGAAACCCTGCACATGCAAAGCTGAATGACTAAATTTGTATGGGTCAAAACTTGGAGCCCTGGTCCACCCTGCAGCTTGACCTTGCCCAAGAAACCCCAGCATTTGTTATCAATATGAGACACCCCTTATATATAACCCGTTCAATGCCTCTCTTGGGGGCGTTTAAGAGACACCCCAGCTCGAGCCATCGAATGCCACTATTCTTGGCTTTCATCTGCGACACTTCTTGAAACAAAAACAACCCAGAGCACAGCTACAAGTTTAATGAAGTTGTTTGAATCTTGGGACTTTGGAGTTCCTGCTTTGACCCAAAGCCATCTACTGAACTTGAGCTGTCTCAAAATAGCCGAGGAGACTGCATGATACTCAGCTTGTGGAACCGAAACTAGGCCCAAACCCAATGGATTACTGAAACCCGGCCAGCTTGCGAGGCCACGTGGCCACCTTTTCAGCTCTATGGGCACACCCCCTGCGCACCTGAACGTAGTCCATTCCCGCCTTGGCCTCGCCAAAGTTTGTCCATCTACCAGGACCCAGGAGAGGGAGCTACTAGGGTGGCCATCGTTATTAGGAGAGGGAAGATATAAAAGAACCTTGAACCTCTAAAGGTGTGACCCAAGGACACCCCCTCCTCACAGGAAAACACCATTGGTGTGCAGTTCTTGCTCTTGCTGTTGCCACTCAGAATCTTACACATCCCACAGTTGAACAAATGTTGTTGTTTGAGTCTAAAAAGCATAGTAGGTGACTTCATCACCTCTCAAACATATGAACTTTAACAACACAACATAACACACCTCTGTTCGGATTCGGGGCGACCTACGTCGTTCCAAGATCTTGCCACGCCAGAATCAGGTATTCATGGGGGGATTCAGTTGGAACAAGCCAGGAATACAGCCAAACAGAACATGAAGCCTCACCACCAGATCCCAACAAGGATGGACCCATGCACTCATGCGGACCCCACGTTCCAAAAGCACACATGGCATGCACCGAAAGAAACACCCTTCAACTAGCAATGAAACACTTATATCACTTATAGTGATCATACATGATCATACCGCCAAACAATGATGGTCAGCCTTCCACTGTTACCGGTTTCCCCCCATGGTCCCGGGAAGCTTCTTTTTCTGACCCAGACCCCTGACGGCCCGGGCAACCCCATCTTGGGTTTCGTACTTCACCTGTTCCCCAGGCCCCGAGTTGATGGCGAACGCACCCGTTTGACCACGTGGTCAGCTTGCTGTATTCGGGTGAAGGTGGGTGGAGCGCCTTCGGTATTTACTTTTTCTCGTCTCGTCATATATCCAGTAAAACTCTACCTGCAGTCTCAGTTCGTACCTCGCAAAATGGGTACAGTTGTACCTGTTTCTATATTTCTATAGGGTCATGTCTCATTTTCTAAGATACTTTGGAGGGCCAGGTACAAACAAGCAGGTGCGCAAACCAGCAGAGTCAGGCAAATGAGGTCCAGTCGGTACTGTGCATTGAGCCTTGACAAATAGCAACGACCGAAACAAACTAAGAATTGCAATGTTCCAGGAGTTTCAATGGGGTGCTTGATGGAGGTTAGGGGTGCCCATTGCCCACTCACTTACAGTAGGGACTAAACATTTGTGACCACTGGTTGAAGGGATTCTGGTACAGCAGGACCCTCTTGCAGCGACCTGCCATTCGAGCAATCGATCTCCAAGTTGCACGTTGGCTGGTCGTCTTCGTGTCTTGAAGTACATGTTACATGAGGCACAAGTGATGTCCTGTAAACCCTGGAACCCCCCTGTTACAAAGTGTTGTCCTTGTATTGTCCTTTCTATATCTTCTAGGCCTGAAAGTCCTATGGGTCCTATGGGTCTGTTTAGATGCCCGCTGAGCTGATAGACCAACTCTTGGAGTTGCTTAAGGATCCGGGCACCGAGAAAATAGAGGCCGTAGATGCATCACAGTGTTCCCCTCACCGCCAACCAGACCGCTCCCCAGCCCTCTTCACCTTGGATTTGCTATCCAGGAACTACCAGGAAAACATCCAAAACTCTCCCCAGCCAGACGGCGATTTACCCAATCTTGATTGTGCCACAAACCCTTTCTCCGCACCAAACAGCCCAGCCACCCCCCACCACACGGCACCCCGCGTTCGTCCCCCGACTGCACCACCCCGTCCCTCCCGGCCTTCACTTCGTCGCCCAAGTCCCCCGAGCGCTTCACGCGGAGCTTCACCGTGCCGATCTGGGGAGCTTCACCGTGGACGTCGGTTCAGGGATGGAGGGAGGAATAAGGAACTGCGATGGCACATTGTTCAAAGTGTCTGGCGACTGGACTTTCGGGCACTTTTTTGCGCCCAGATCCCATGAGGTACATCTTCAGCCGAAGAAGCGATCCATTTAGGGTGTACATGACATGTCTACTTGCTCCAACCGGGTCGACCTGTGCTTCAAGCAGCGGTCTCGACCGCCAGCAGCCGATCAGGAACTGGCAAATCAAGTCAATGATTTGTGGCAAGAGCTGCCCGTAAGAACCCCTAAGTGTGTCCTCACTGTTTGGGGAATCAACCGTATGTTCCAGAAGGGGATTGACCCAGATCGGGGCTGCATGAACCTCTTCCGATCTGCAAGACTCTAGGGCTGGGCCTAGGGCTGGGCCTAGGCCTTTGTTTGGGAAGTCTGATGACCTTTGAAGCGATGTGAAAGAGGAACTGGCCAACTGAGAGAGTTGAAGCAGTGCTGGAGTTCTTGAGCAGTGCAAGGGTCCAGTTGAAGGGTTGGCTCTGAATGTCCCTGGACAATACAGATTACTGGTCAGCCGAACTTTCTACCTCTTTTTGAATATTTGGAGTCTGAGTATGTCTGAGTGGGGTGTCCCCAATCTCCCCAAACGGCTCAAGTCGTGACCGCCCTTGAGATCTGTCTTTTTGGTCACCGGATGGGACTCTGGTGACTTTGGTTAAGCTGGAAGATGATCCACATACTTCCTGGGGGCCCTTGACTGAGGAATATATCCCTTTCCTCAGAATCCCCCAGACCTGTATACCGATCGGTTGGCGTGGTTTGAGGAGTCAATGTAGGCCATGGAAGGTCCGGGCTTCCCAACTGAGTTGGCTTCGGATCGACGTTTTCGTCGACGGGGCGGAAAGACGTCGACGAATGGAACGAGTCCAGCCGGCTCCCCACCTGCCATCCCCATGAAAAGTACCGGACCCTATAGTCGTTGCCGGGAAAACAGGAAACGGTAACTCTGACAACTGTCGCGATCGTTGGAAGTTTAAGACCGAAGACTGATCTTCACGGATGTTGGGGATCGTTGGTCCTACTTCGAGGCATTCAGAATAAATGTATTTTTTGCGGTGTTCGAGGCTCCGGTGGGAATCAAACTCACCCCCGCACTGGCGCAAGATCCTCGAACTGCAAGGGCTCCCTTGTGACTTCACTGGGCTTGTCATTCTTACAAAACACTGAGCCCTACATCAAGCTGTTCCAACATGCGACCAAATATGTTTTGGATGTTTGTGTGCTTCTCATCTATTGATTCTATTGCAGCATGGCTATGTGAGCAATATTATATCTGATTCCTCTAATGATGTGAATTCTCATGGGAGAACGCCCTCATCAGGAAGTCCCAACCCAGCACGACAGAACGGGTTCATAGACATCCCTGACTGTTCCTTCCGATCACCACCCGGCCCACTACTTATGTGTCTCCAGCCAGGAGAAGCGCTTCAGAAGCACTTCAGAAGCGGCATGGGAAACCAACAAGTCACCAGAACCCACTAACCCTCCCCTGCAGACCAGGGCACGCTCTCAGACACGGCCACGTTCTTGGAGACGAATTCCTCTCACCACGGGAGGTACGGTTTGGTTGGTTCGGTCGTACCTGGAGGTCGACCTGGAGTCGTACCAAAATGGGGAACGAAGTACCTGCGGAATTGACAGGATCATGTCCCATGTTCATCCAGTGAAGTACGGAGGGTCCAGGTAGGTCTGGACCCTCATACAGTGAAGATCTCAACACCAGTAAAAGCATGTGAAAGCCACCAGCCACTTTTGAAAGGGTATCAAATTAGCACACCTTGAGCCTTTAGCTGTAGAATCAACATGTCAAATGTAAAATAACATCCCCTTCTGGAGCTCGGCAACAAGACAGTGAGCGTAACTGCAGGGTCAACAATCCTGTCGGGGTGAGTGAGATCCCCAAACGCAGCCACTCTTCTTGATGGCTGTGGGTCCAAACCGGGCAGACCGAACGGTTGACCTATACCTTTCCGTGATCTGCGCTCCGATGTTCCTGCGCTTCCCAACAGCCCTTCACCAGATGGTGGGTGCCTTGGTTGACCTACCGACGTGACTGGTCAAGCTGGTGAACCAGGGCACCAGGTTCAACGACCCATCCCCATATTCTTCCACACCAGCGTCTGGCTTTAGCATTCGTGGTAGAGATGGAAGACGAGAGGGTTTTTTGCATCGGCTACGTCCAGCAGCCAGTCTCCATGGTATATCCTAAGACTCCAACATATATCTTCACTTGATTAGACCCCCCCGGCACCCACCCTAACCACCTTTGAAACGAGTAATTATATAGTTGGAGCCCTATGGGAAAGTCTTCAACAGCATAGAGTCGAATGCCAGTTTGTACGAGAGGGAGGGGCGAAGTAACTCTCCAAGATCCTCCCAAGTGTAGCAAAAGGTTTGTTCTCCTACGTCGTGTGCCGGTTTTTAATCGGGTCATGTCCCATGTTCAAGGACACTTTGGAGGCTCCAGGCTGGGCTCCAGGTGGATATGATCTGGTCAATGATGATCTCTCTTGGACACGGAGGCTGTTAGGCAGTTCTGCTGTGGAGGACCCCACCAAGTGCAGAGGCTGTTGGTGCTACTTTGGCAAGAGTCTAGTCACTTGTCGCGTGAAATAGGCAAAAACTGGTGCAGTCTCGCTCTATCTGTTATTTAAACTCTGAAGTTGTTGCTTTGTCGTAGGAAAAGTGCAGTTACCAATCCGGATGGGTTTTATATACTCTTCAGTTCCACATTTCTCACTGCCACGAGGCTAGAAAAGAAGGTTCACATGTCTCGACGTGCGAGAAAGGCTCATGAATTCCAATGAGATCGCAGCCAGGACTTCGACGAGGTAAGGGTGTCCACAAAGGAAGGACCAAAGCATGAACAGAACAACGGAACACTCATTGAATGGGACGAAGCAAGACTTAGAACTACCAGGCTGTTTTTGCCTAGGATTGACCGTGTTTGTGTTGGGTGTCGGCCCTCTGAAGAAGAGGTTTTGGTGCATGCTTCCCGCTTCCCAGAAGTCAAACTGCGAGGGTTTTTCGGTCACCCGAACTGTCGTTTCAGACACAGCCGGAGGAACACCGCACTGCTGGGTGCCACCGGCAATGGTGGTTTTGTGGTCGGAGGCCCACTGCTGTGCTGCGCCACCTTGCTGCGCCATGGGTGGAGGATCCATACCCAGTGAATCTTTGTCTGATTGACAAGACGCACGCTTCCCCCAAGGACATTCTTTTGATGAATAATCACCATGCATATGCCTGCATATAATATATATATATGATATGTATATACAGTATGTAAAAATATATGTATTTATATTACTGTTGAATATGCCTCCGTTGCCTCCGTTTCCCCTTTAACATCCACACTGTGTGCGAAAAATTACGGGAAAAGGCAGATATAAAAGGTTAGTCTATGTGAGCCTCATGTTATAATGTTGAATCAAATGAAGAGGCTAAATTGGTCAAAACATGTTCAGAATGTTGAACATAAGCAAATGAAGAGTGTTTACAATTCAAACCGGTGGGCTTATTAGCTAATCAAGATTCAACATTAATGTGTGGAGGCCTGAGACGACAACTTCATGGTTTACACTGCAATTGAAGTCCCCACATCATGGTTTACACAACTCTCACTCACCGTACCACACCGTGGATTTAAAGAACGACGAGTTATCTCCACTTGTTGTTGCACCCAAATTCCTGCATGACCCATCTTTCAGTGTAAGCTGATCTTTCAGGGAAAACCCAAACATCCAACATCACCGGGGAAGAAACAAACTCTCACATAGATCGCACAACGGTGCTCAAATTCAGCTATTGACACAAAACAAACAGTTACCAGTTAGTGCGTGGAAAAATAACCCAGAAAAAACACATCACTTGTGAAACCTCTTCGATCGAATTTTTGGGGAGAGGTACTTTCAACCGCCCAACCAACCGAACCCGATCGCAACCCACCCGCCTTTGGGCGAAGGCGCATCCTCGGTCATGGGAGGACGGACCCGGAGACCGTGTCTACCGTGTCTACCGTGTCGAACGTGGAGTTAACGTGCACACTCCTTTGAAGGTCCAGCTCAATGTCTCAGGTTGAATGTAAATCAATCATGTAATATATATATATATACCAGCAGCCGACTCTACAGGTCACCACTTGCTACTTTTAAGTCAGTAAAAAGCCTCCAGAGGAGACCTGTTGGAGGGTGCTGGTATGTTTGACTTTTGGTCACACTAGAACCTGTTCAAAGAGTTTGGGGTCATGTCCCATGCTCCAAAAACGACTGGTCTGGTACCAGGTCCAGGAACTTGTATACGATATGACCACAGGTGCAAGACAAGCTCTCGCTTGCGGATGTTTTAGGACGAGCAAAGCATCTAGATACCCCAACCGTTGACCACCGAAATCCCATGCCAGGCGGCTGTGGGTACCACCGACTTCAGCGCGACTGGAGGGACTGGAGCCTGGCAGGAGTGGACACATGGGAGGGGTGGCTCTGAGGTACTCCAGCTACAAGTTGCTCTGGAACATGGTGGAGTAGACCCGGAACTCGGACCTCTGAGAATGGGTGCAGTCGTACCTGTTTGGGGTTCGGGTCATCACACAGGCTTGAGTTTAGTCGTTTTGGCAATACTATAGATTATTACAATATACAATATATTATATTATATTATATTATATTAGAATAGGCTATGCAAAAGGGACACCATATTTCCAAGACCATCCATGGGACGGGAATACATATATGCTCTCCTTAAACCACCCTAACTGATCAGTATACAGGCAAGTCCCATGGATGGTCTGGGTTTTTTGTTAGCATTCTACGGATAGAATCAGCTCACATGTAAGTAGTTAGTTTCATTGAGTTCATGAGATGCGGGTTTTGCAGGGAACTTTTCATATATAGTATAGTTTGCATGGCCTGATGCCCTCACGTTAAGTCAGGACGCTTTGCAAAACAAAATCTATGATTTTTTTGCACAACCTAATGAGACTAAACGACTAGAAGAACCTGTTTTCGCATATGTTTTAATAATCTTTGATATGCTTAACTGCTAAACGAAACGATTCACTCTGCAGCCTGATTATTTTTGTTGCTGTGGGATTTTTGTGCTGAACTGTACTGGTATGCCCGCGTAACACCTATGCCAGGTAAGCGTAGTACGGGATGCTTAAACCTGTGGCGAGCTGAAAATGTCACTGCTAAATCAATCCATATCCCTGGTTCGTTTTTTTCCACCAGGGGTGCTGCAAGGAGGACGGCCAACCTATAAATTTCCCGGATCGGGTTTGTTTCGCTGCATCAATGGCGCGCTAAGTCATTCCTTTTCGGGTGTCAAACATATTTTCAGTTTCACCACAACAGCGGTAAATTTGAACCTTGTGAGGATCCTCATGGTGCGAGGAGTCTATGCTGTCCTCAGCCGAAATGTATTTGTGTCATTGTGTGTGAATAGTGAACAACCTCACACACACATACTGCAACTCACTGTAAAATCAACCTCCCGGACATGGAAGTGTGTGTGAAGGAAATGAAATCCTCCTCAGCCGCAAAGCAGTGTTCCTGCCGGACCTCGTTCCCCGCCGGACCTCAACCGCCAGCTCTGGACGGCAGTGTTCCCCCGTACCTTGCAACCGCCAGCTCCGGATAGCAGTGTTACGCCCGCACCTCAAACGCCAGCTCCGGACGGCAGTGTTCCCCGCCGGACCTTAACCATGCACGAGTCAGAAGATACGGCAGATAGAATGTCAGAAAATAGGTCAGAAGATATGCCACAATTAATGTCAGAAAGAATGTCAGGAAGAATGTCAGAAGATATAGCAGAAAGTTCCGAAGACATGCCAGAAAGAATGTCACAAAATGTGTCAGAAGATATCCCAGAAAGAATGTCACAAAATATGCGAGAAAGACTGTCAGAAGTTATGCCAGAAAGAATGTCCGTGTCCGACACAATGTCAAAAAGATATGCCGCTGCCACAAAGAGACTGTGAGAAGATATGCCAGACAGAGTGTCAGAAGATATGCCAGAAAGAATGGCGGCAGCCCGCAAAACCGCCGGACCATAGACTGATATTTCCTCTTGAACTGCTCTGACAACCATGACAAGCTGCCACGCTGTGTTTTGTCCGTGTGACGAAGTCGCGAAACCTCTGACAGGCAGAAGGGCAAGACTTGCTCCAGTTCACCAAGGTCTGCGCAGCCATGCGGTCAGGCGAGTGCAAGATCTTGTACTGGAAGACTCCCTGGTGCGCCATAGTCTGTGAACTAACACAAGCTCTCTTTGCGGTTGAGAATAGAATCGCTGCAACGAGCAAGCAGTGCAGCCCTGCACTGTGTACGGGCGCATGCACATGTGCACCCTGCACCCCAGTGGCGCTTAGCAGTCGAGTCATGTCAGACTGCAATCTGCTGTTCAATGCGGGAATGATCCACTCCACTCATTCCACTACTGGTCTACATATGTCTGATGGATTTGCCATACGCTTTCAGCTGGAAATAGTGTGACTAACCCAAGCATCATTCAACTGCACCCTTGCAAAGCCGGCAGAACAAAGATGTGTATAGAAGGAAGGAATTCATGAGCAGTTTGTCCACACATGTGTGAGTGCCTAACCGCAAACATCAAATAACAACATGAGACAAACACTAACATAACACTGAGCATTCCTCAAGTGGTTTGAGACAAACTAGGTGGAAGTGTCTAGCACTGTTTAACGAGTCCTCAGATGCCTCTGCCCTACCCGCACCCACTACTTTTTTGCCGGACTCTTCACGGCCGTCAGCTCAGTGCGGATTGCGCAGCAAGCCCTGCACGTGCCTTTGCAAATGAATGGTCGTTGGTTAGCTAGCTGAAAATCATATTGTCAATATTGGGTTGATCAACGAAATATTGATATCCACTAAACTCAAAAATGTTGAGCAACAAACGTTTGCCAGAACAGTGGTCAAAAACTTGTTGATCAACAACATTATGTCAGTACTATGGTTAAAAATTTGTTGACCAAACATGATAATACATTAGTCAAACATTTGTTGAACACAGCTTCGACATACCACTAATAGCTACTTTCGTTGAGCAACCACACCTGCGAAAGGACGGAGACTTCCCAGATTCAAGGATCCTTGTAGTCGCTTGATTGTCTTCGACAAAGACACCTTGAACTGATTGGGGAGAGAACATAGTCAAACATCAAGCCTTCTCGTTCCGATCCGATGAACTTCCAGCCAATCAGTGCTTCTCGAATCTCCTGACCTTCCACCTTGTCGTCAACCTCATTCGGTCCATATACTCGGAATAACGCCCTTCCCATCCAGAAAGAATGTTACAAAGAATGTCCAAAAGCATGCCAGAAAGAATGTCAGAAGATATGCCAGAAAGAATGTCAAACAGAATGTCAGAAGATACGCCAGAAAGAATGTCAGAAACTATGCCAGAAAGAATGTCAGAAGATATGCCAGAAAGAACGTCAGAAAGAATGTCAGAAGATATGCCAGAAAGAATGTCAGAAGATCCGCCACAAAGAATGTCAGAAAGAATGTCAAAAGATTTGCCAGACAGAATGTCAGAAAATGTCAGAAAGATTGTCGGAAGATATGATATCAATATGCCAGACAGAATGTCAGAAATAGTGTCAGAAGATATGCCAGAAATGTCAGAAGATATGCCAGAAAGAATGCCAGAAAGAATGTTAGAAATAATGTCAGAAGATATGCCAGAAAGACTGTCAGAAAGAATGCCAGAAGATATGCCAGAAAGAGACAGTGGCATGTGGAACTTGCTGGTCGCAACAATCAAACGATAAAGCCGCGTGGGTCCAACCTAGTAGCAAGGGCCTTCAAGCACTGGCCAATAAAACACCTGACAAGTAGCCTTTTACTTCCTGACTGAGGTTCTTCACATACACCCAGCGTTCGTCTTCCTCGTCGTCCAAACACTGCAACTTGTCGTTCTCCACCACGAAGAGGGCATGTGAACAGAAGCTGGACCCATGTCACGTTCGGCAGCTGAAGGCCGGCGCGCTATTCAAGGAGCTCCCGGTCGAGGTGGGTGCCTCCTTTCACATCCTTTCACAAGATTCGGGGAACCGACCTACTTGCCACTGGTTCTGATCAAGTCCGGACACATTCAACAAACACCAACACGGTTTCTCCTCGGCTTGAAGGCGGCACCTAACAACCACCACCACCCCCCACTGGACGTCACCCCGCACCTTCTCACCCACTCCGGGGACTCGTTTGCCGCCGAAGAGAGCGTGTGTGGCGCCCACGCGATACGCCGCCTGCGAGCTGGCTAAGGTGCCGCAGTCCCGGGGTGAAGGCAGAAAGAGGGTTGAGGGGCGGTCGCTGTGGTTTCATCGTGTGTTTTTTGTTGTTATAAGTTATAAGTTGTGTTCACATCAACTCAACAACACCAAAAAGGACAACAAACTTATATGCAGTGTGCGATATACAGCAAGAATGAAATATGAATGGAATGAAAAAAGGAAACACAAAACAATTGAAACATAATACCGGAACACACCGGAACAAAATTGATAGAACAAACAAAAAAACACACAAGAGTCTTTAGAATGTTGCTTCGCTCTATGTGTTTGTTTGGAGAGGTTGATGTTTTGCCTGCAGGACATAGATCCAGCATGTCCTTAACATTTGCTAGAAGGGGGCTGCCTTGTGTTTGTTTGAGAGAGTTGCCAAGACCTCTTCCACGGCTTTGACTCGCTTGGTGAGCCTTTTCCGGAATTTGCTTTCAAGCAAGGCAAAGCCCTGAAGATACTTCAAGGAAAAAGCACTTCCCTTAAGCAAGTCCTTCAATCCAAATCCTAATGGTTCTAAAGCCAACCCATGTGCCAGTGCCGCTGAGGCATTCCCAATTCCAAGGCTCCAGTACCCATGTCACACTGTGACCTTCGGTGACCTTTGCTAACTGCTCTTCCTTGTCAAGGGCCCAAAAGTTGGATTTGCTGGTCCAGGTGCTGCATATTAGTGCATAGTGGCATATCCTGCAAGAGATTCAATGTATGCACTATTGATCTATCTAATATGCACTTAAAGGAATCCTCCAGTCCCACACACCGTTTGGCTTTAAACCATATGCCATACGCTTACCACGCGAAAAAACCGTAGCTTCCTGGAGCCTCCAGTTTGTATAATAGAAAGTAAGCCTAACAGGGTCTGGGCCCTTGAGTCAGTCCGCCGGGCCCAGCTGTCTACCTTGCCGTATGGATCCTGGATGGTCCTGAATTCTCTACCCAGGATAGAATTCAAACATCAAATGATTTAACAGTGCTTACTCAACAACCTGAGGATACTTGCTGTTTCCCTGAGGATACTTGCCTGCAAAACTCGGGAATAGTCTTGGAAAGCTAGGGTCTACGATGGTCCATGTCTCTCATGCATGGAGTATCCTTCCCAAATGCTCCATGTAGGTATCCCAAACAATCCATGTTTGCAATATTGAATATATATATATATATATAACCAATTACATTGACCCTTACCGACAACATCCTAAAATCACCCCAATGTAGGCAAACATGAATCTTCCATGCACGGATTGCTCGGGTGTATGGCGGTCTATGTCCACCTCTGTCCACCTCCGTCGACCACCGGCAATTCCATTCGTGTGCAGATTCCGGTCCTTAGACTTGTGCTTGTCGATGTCTTTCGCCAACAGCTTGGCCACTTCCTCATCACTCAGTTCCATGCCATACTCCTCGCTACGAGACTGGGGTTCAACGGATCGACGCCGATGTCTCATGTACCACTTGTCGGGTGATGTCTCATGTTCTGTACCCAAACACTCCATGTATGGAATATATATATATACCTAGACCCCATTTGACCTCTGTTTTGATAGGAAAAAAACATGTTTTGTCTCCAAAACAGGGGTCAATCAGGTTCAAGTATATGCCTACATTGACATCCCAAACCACCCCAATGTAGACATATACATGGAGCGTTGGGCCGAAATCGGGCTCTCCAATAGACGATACCCTACAGTACTTGTGGATCTCTATTGAGCACCCCTTTGAAGGTTCAGGCCAAGTGTTTTGGGACTGTTGTCTTGGATGCGGAATTTCTCCCCACTTCCGATGTTTTCTCGTGCACGCTCCATCACATCTCCTTCTGGAGCTTCATCTCTGCCTTCTGAAGCTCCTTCAAAATTGCGGTGCAAAGAGGGAAGGGTACAGTACCTGGAGTCGACCTGTTTGTACCTCAGAACTCAGAAAATGGCTACTGTACTGCAAGTAGCAAAGCCCCCTTTTTAAAGGTTTCACCTCTCAGGGGCGCATGAATAGACACCCCAAAGCGAGCACCTCTAGCGAGTCTCAGGTCGTAGCTCGGAAAAAAGTACAAATATGATTACAAGTATATGTACTATACTACTAAAGTAATATATAGGAATAAAATGTAATAACGTATGTATTATACAAAATATATATATATATACTGTACTAAATATACGGTATACCTGTTCTTTTTACCGGCCAATTCTACAGCCCCACCAACACCGGGCGCTCCTTTTATCTACTTGGGAAATATCCCGTTTGTCCGACCACTACGCCGTTGTGGTCCAGGTACCAGACCAGAGCGGAACGATCGCAACATAGCGCCCTGTGGGGAAGCGGTATCACCCAGCCACAGGACCACAGAGCTAGAATCGCCAAATACCGAAACGAAAATGGGTCGGGTTGCAAGAATACCTTTTGGGGGGGTGAACATATCTTGGATCATTTTTTGTTTGTAACATGTTATAACTGTATGCTGCCAGGCCAGGGGTGTCTATAAACCACCACCCAACTCCGTGGTAGCTCTGAAGCCGCCAACCAAAACAAGACCAGTCCGCCTGGATTTTTTGGGGGATCTAAAGCATTACATTGAAAGAGCGACCAGTTCTCCGCCTCCAGGGTCATGTCATCAAAAAGCTTCGTAGTTTTGCCTCAGGGTCGCGGAAAAGGGTCGCTTCGAAATCGACCGACGACCGATCTGGGATGCTTCAGATCAAGCTGAGCAAACCAGAAATTGAACCTCAATACGGCAAGTGGAGGTGGGCAAAAAGCAGCAGCAAAATGAAAACATCATTATATAATAATGAATATATACTTGAACAACATGTACTACGTAGCTAAATAGATCTAAATAGACTAGGAGTACTAACTAAGTGACAAGCAAACAATACAAAAACACTGCAGCTGCAGCACCCGCAGCAGCTGCAGCTGCAGCAAACACTTCCGACAATGACATCTTGAAACACCCATTACTAGTAGCTAAGGATCCCCGACTGACTGTTGACTGACTGGAAAGGGAGGCAATGTGTCGAAACACTCGTGATCTCTCTAGGGTGCAAACAACATCCATTGCAGTATCTTGCAAAAAACCTCAACTTGTCCTGAAGAGGTAGGGATTGGACCCGAAACACAGCCTACTCTGAGTCAAAGACTACATTTCTTGAGAGTTTTGCTTTTAGAATTGGAGCAGTCAAAGGCTCGATCAGGCCCCAGCCTTTGGTCATGACAGGCGTGCTCTTATCCCTGGAGAACCAGCCTGAGCAGGCGGCTTCGAAAGCCGCTGGCTTTCAAGGGTCAACGACTAACTCAGTGTCAAATCCATTGATAAATATATGGTAATGTGTGATCAAGGCCCTCAGACTCAACACTGAGGCGCTCATGAACCCAAGTCTCGCGTGTTTAACAAAGAAGCGACCAGTGCCTTTGTCTGCCATGAAGGCCAGCAAGACGAGGATCGGAAACATGGCGAAGGTTACAAGGCCTGGTCATGACCGAGAAAGGACTCGACACTGGGTGACTCGAAGGCCTCTCGGGAATCTCCAGTTTCTCCTCTAGGACAAGAAATCCAAAGAACAAGCAGTAGAGAGAACCTGAGTACGACTGGGGAACTGGAGACTGGAGAACTGGAGAACCAGACCAGTACTGGGCTCCCATATTTTGATCTACTTGGAGAGAATCCAGGCTTGAGATCTCTGAGGTACCCTTGCAGGTACTGAAATCACTCGCGTGACCGCGGAATCGGACACCGAGCAAAGCCAGCTCACTTTGGGGGTCTGACCGTTCTCTTCATCCCACGCAGCCAAAAACATGTGAAAACACTCTCCAGGAGTTCCAGCACTTGGGGTGCCAGTGCCGAAGGGAGAGGGTTCGGGGTGCCCACAACACTACATCCACAGCCCTTGGTGTTTGACTCCAAACACACCTCCCTCTTGGTCAAAAGACCCGGGCCCGACGTCTCAATCGTAGCTTCCAAAACGGAACATGACCCGAACCCCACACACCAGGACCTTCCCAGTGACCTCTTCAGAATTGATAAGTGACCTTTTCAAGGCCTAAGTGGCCTCATTCTGAGATCTCAAAAGGTCACTGGGAAGGTCCTGGCAGGTACTTTCAAGACTTTCCGGCCCCGAAACGACTCCCATGGTACGAACACTCCACCTAAGACGTAGACGTCTCATGGGGTGCTCTCCGAGTCCTGAGGAGTGCCCAGCTACTCCTCTGAAGGGATGGAATTTTTCACACCACCCCTTGCAAGTGACTCCTGGCAGGTATAAAAACCATCAAAAACCAGTCCCTTCGGCATCATGCCCTTGTCACTTCTGGCCTTCCCAAACGTCCACGACGTCCTGATGGGCTCGGTCCGTGCCCGCGCGGCACCCGCGCGCGGGCTGCGTGCTTGGGGGTCGGGGGGGATTCACCTGAGAGCTTCAGAAGGTAATGATCATATTTGAACATGGATCAACACATCATCCAGTTGAAGCATCTTGGATGGGATTTTTTGTTGGGACATCCTTTTCCTCCCTCCCAGTAAAAAGCTCATACGGACCTTGGTTGGAACACTGGAGACGAATTCAAGCTCAAAGCGGGAACTCTGGCCGTGGCCATGGCTACAACAAAGACTTGTTGGATTCATGGTGGGGTTGTACCAGCACTGGCTGAGTCAAAGACTTGGAGATCTTTCTTCCCAACGACTCCCAACTGCGACACCTGCCAACGGCTTGAGACATGACTCATGAGATACATAGCTTTAGACTTCAGCGTTTCCCAAAAGACCCCTTGGTGTCTTGGTCTCTGTTCCTTCTTTCATTCGAGGTCTCCCTCTACACAAATGGACATCTATGGACATCTTCCACCAGATCTCTACACGCGGCGCGATCTCCTTGCTGATGACCACCACCTCAGTTTGTCGTTTGGGCGTGCGCTTTTTGGATGACTAGTAACTTGTAACACTTAGTAACAAGAAGCTTAGGTTGGAGGCCATCGCTACTAGGGTGGAGGCCATCGCTACTAGGGTGGAGGCCATCGCTAGTAGGTTGGAGGCCACTACATCCAATACTACTATAGCTATAGTATACTATAAAGGGAAAGCCAGGTGAACCAAAACTTTTGTCAAATAGAACCAGGACTCCAAAAGCATACAAACATATACAAACATAGCCATGCATGTGGGCTTGGGCCTGGAGTGGAGAGGAACAGGGAAGGGGGGTCACCATGCGCTCGCTCCCAATCCATGGCCTTTTTTCCTGCTCCTGCTGCAACGGTAGATCAGTCGTTGACTGCAGAATCTATCCCATCACACCTCACGGTTTCTGGCAGCCTGTTTTGCCAGCTCACGAACCTCCAGAACAAACAATAAGTTGTTATTGAAAGCACCAGTCAAATCTTCAAGCACACACACACACACAGCGTGCCTCCTCCATGGGTTTTCCTTCTTTCTTCAATGCACGGTAGACCTTTGAGTAAACCTGGTTCCATGAGGGCTTTGAAGCACCAGAAGTTCCACCTGACTTCTTGCCACGACCACGTGTTTGGGCCTTTTTCTGATCCTTCATCTGTTGTTTGGTCTTCTTCTTGACTGTTTTGTTCTGTTCATTCCTCTCCTTTGCCCCTCTGGGTTTGGGGCGCTGGCTTTTCTGCTTGGGTGCAGGCTTGCTTTGCTTGGGACGCTGTTTTTTAGCAATGGGTTTTGCACTGCTGACCTTCTTTGTCCCTGCTGCTGCTCCATTGGCAGGTTTGTGAGGAGAGTTGAGATCTATGATCTCAGGAACCCTCTTCCTGAGTGTCAAGCAAAGCAAGTAACTTATATACAATATTGCTCTAAGATGGCTGAGCCAATGGCTGTTCCTCTTGGCTGGCAGGAACCTGTTGGGGTGGTGTAAATTTGCATAGAAACTGGTTGTCCAATTTGGACAGCTCTCACTAGACATGCTTACTGCTCGATGAACAACAGAGTCTGTGACTGAAACAAAAATGGTGGAGAAAAAACCATTCGCTGACTCCAACTCTGTGCGTTGCTCGCCTTCTGCGAAGGAGATCCAAGAACCTGAATATATTATCCCCCCCAAAAGCAAACTCTTATGTTGAGCTACTATATTTACATTTTACATGGAGCCTGCCTCCTCAGTCGGCATGGGCACTCCAGAAGCCTGACCAAAAGAAACAAATCCTATTTGTGGAAATGTAATGTTCTTGGGTCCAGCCTCCCCAGGAGGGGTTTCACGCAAATCTTCGCCATGAGATTCTTCAGGCATGGCCTTCATGTTGGTCATAACACATCCCCGCAAACACCCTCAAACACACCCTCAACACAGCAGCTGAGAGGCACACCACATCAATTTGGAACTCACGAGGATCACCCTCCTCAGTTTGTTTTGTTTCCTTTTGAATAAGCAGTTGTCCTACCACTTGCAGAGTTAGGAACTAGCCAGGATATGTCCATACAGTATGGATCGTTGATCACCTAGCGCAATCACGCGGTTTGGGCAATGCGAGCGCTTGAGCTGTGAACGAGGCCTGCCGGCCGTGTGTTTCCTCAGTGTTGCCAGGAAGGGTTCGACCGTCCTGCAGGAAGGAAAGCCACAAGGGAAGAGTTCAATCAGTGAAGAAGTGAAGAAGGGCTCGAGCCTCCAAATCTTTCCAAGGATACCATTTGTGTTCACGCCCTTTAAAGTCGGCATCATGGTCGTCCTGAATCTTTTTCTAACCCTTGATCAAGTTGAAAGCATGCACCAATGGTCCTTGTGCTCTGGATCCTTGCAGTCAGACAAGCCATCAAAGTCTTCCTGACCCAGAACCTGCCGGAATGCACAAGTTCCTGTGACTTTCCAGCAACCCTGAAATGGCTGACCCCTAAACATGACTGTTTTAGACCAAGGACAGTCATGGGACTTTGATAGCCAAAGAAGACACCCTGAGACAGATCAATACCTCGATCATTTCTTGGTCATACTCTGTGGAAGCCACCAGGGACCACCATGATTTATTGTTGACATACATGTGGTTCAAAGACCTGCATCCCACCACACCCCAAAGCGCACCAGAGTAGCCGCGCTCAATTCGTCGTGCTCACGCTCCTAGTGTGCAGCAAAACAATTGCATCATGCCCAGGTGAAGAATCCATCACAGTCCTTGCGATCATTGGGCTCTTCCTCGAGGCAAGGATGGGGGGCAGCTTGCCAAGGGAACAAACATAGTGGATGAAAACAACAAAGGCTCCATCTAACCAGGCCTCAAAACAAGGAATGGAATCTGGCACAAAGAAGGTCTCCGCGCGAGAGGCACGTTCAAAGGCGGCGTTCAAGGTAGATTGATCCACCGGCTCTTGTCGATAAGTCTCATGTTCTACCTGTGGTTCATCATCATCATCATCATGTTCATCTTCATCTTCATCATCGACACCGCCACCAGCATGTTTCTTGCCACGTTTTCTCTTCTCCTTTTTGGTTGCTTTCTCAGACTTCTTGTCAGACTTTTTCTCACGCTTCGGATGTTTTGTTTTCTTTTTCTTTTCTTCTTCAGGACACTCATCTCCCTCGTCTTCATCATCATCATCGTCCTTCTTGCCCCCGACGGGAGCGACATCATTCACAACAGGTCTCGTCTTCTTCAGGGCTGGTCGTTTCATCACTTTCTCTGGTTCACCTTCAGCATCTGCCTTGGAGGCACCATCAGGCGAGGAGCTATCTCCTGAGCCAGAGAGGTCACAGCGTTGTAGCGGTCCTGCCATCAAACAAACTGAGACAAGTAAGCGGAGTGGGGATTGAAGACAGGAAACATGATCATGTAGGAAAGCAAGGTTGCAATATGTTGCAATGCAATCCCTTTAGATTGTGGTCCTCCAGATGATGTTCCAGTGGACTTTGTCTTTTCAGTAGGCTTGGGTGCAGGCTTGGGGGCTGGAGGCTTTGGAGTTGGGGCAGTGCCTAATGCCCCTCCACTCATCAGCGATGTATAGTCTGACACGGAGAACGCTCGGGACGGAAGAACATTGCCGGCACTGCCAGGCTCAGAAGCCATCAGCAAGGGCCTGCAAAAAAGCCTTCAGGACTGCCGGTATCCCCGCCGGTCGAAACTTGAAAGGCTTGACATTGAACCAGGGAAGGACCAATTGAGCGCCACATGAACATGATTACTTAGCTGCTGCTGAATCAGATTGAAACAGCTACATCGTTTTTTTGAGCCTGGGGGCAGGTGCCTTATGCAAGGTTCCAGACTTTGATGATCTTCGCACATTGCTTTCAGCAATGTTTCCCAATGAAGGATTACCACCCCAAATGGCCAAACAATGGATGAAGACATTATTAAGACATATTAAGACAACATAAGTTCTGAAATTGAGGTTGGGGGCCCTTCACCCAATGAAGCTCAAAGCCAACCCCTGCGCGCAATCCACTTGGTTGGAATTGAATCCAGCGCCGCCTACATGGTTTGAACCATTTGGCTTACTTGATAACTGGAAGAACGA